TCCCCACGCCCAACCAGGAGTGATCCCTGAGCTTAGAACCAGGAGTAAGTCCTGAACACTGCTGGATGTGGCCTGAAAACAAACAAACAATAGGTTAATCATTCTTCACTAAATTCGCTTTAAAAGCTAATAATAAAAGAATTTTATCTCTACATTACTTTGTAATTAAAATAGACAAAATGCAATTTCCAAAATATAAAGAAACATCCTAAAACAAACCTACTTTTCCTTCTCATTTATAGCACCTAGAAATGTTAGCAATATGATATAAAAACAAATAAAATTTAAGTTTAACTTAGAATTTATTGAGTCAAATTAAGAAAACGAAGAATTAATAGCTCATACTCTCAGTTCTAAGCACATTTTTTGGGTGTGTTTTGTTTTCGGGTCACACCTGGAAGTGCTCAGGGATCACTCATGTGGGACTTGGAGGACCATATGTAGTGTCAGGAATGGAACCCAGGTTGGCCATGTGCAAGGCAAGTGCCCTACCTACTATACTGCCTCTCTGGCCCCCAAGCAGCTTTAAATTTTCACTGTTTATTTTTTTCTCCAATACATTTTCTATTAAAAGCCTTTACTGAACATTTATTATTGAATCATTTCTTACTAGCATGATGTTTTAGAATCAAGTTAGTAAGATAACTATTTCTCTTCTATTAGAAACACATTGCATCAGGAAGCAATTTTGTTCTTTTGCTCCATTTATAACTTCTCCCTCTTCCCTGCTTGTAGTAATTTAAGAGATATAAACTAATAGAAGAACATTATCTGTAAGAACATGAAGCTAATTGCATCTGCTGTATTTTGTGCACATTCTTAACAACCCTAACCTTTAATGTCAATTAGACTCAGTAATAAATTCACAAGAAAGGTAAAGCAAATTCCCCCTCTTTTTTCAACTCTGGAAAAAATCAAGTTAAATGATTAGCTACATTAGTCTGGAGAGATTGTACAGAGGTGGGGCACCGTTTGACTTGCACACAGCCGACCCAGGTTCAATCCCCGACACTGCATTAGGTCATCTGAACCCCACTGAGAATAATCCCTGAGCACAGCTGGGTGTGTTCTAATAAAAAGAAACAGAATAAAACGCATCAGTAACAACAGTTGAATTCATGTCCAAAAGTGCCCTTCTTTATGTTCCTACAGAGAAATAACTGCATGATGCATGGCATGTAGCTGGCTTATGAAAATTCATTGTCCCCAACAAGAATGTACAAAATTACCATGCTGGAATTACATGTGTTAAAGGCAATGAAGCATTCTAAGGGAAAAAATATTTGACACAATTCTTGAGATGGGAATGAGAAGGAAAATAAAAATTTATATAAGCACTTGAATATAAAAGGTTTAAAACTGAGTCTTGAAAACTAATCCCCCTTTCTATTTGTTGGCTCTGAGAAAATTGTCAACTGTGTTGAATTCTTCCCAGAATCAAATTTTTAAATCTTTTTCATATACACTTATGATTCTGTCTCTTTATTTTTTCTACCAATAATATATTCTTTTCTATTCCTTTTGTCCATCCAGACCTTATGCATCTTTCAGCCAGCAAAATAAGCTCTTTGTATTACATCTAAAAACTGATAAATAAAAACTAAAATAATGTAATGTAAAGTGAATGATGTAATATGAATGTATTATCCATGAATTTAAATACAGACTTTGTGACATATCATTATATGCTTACTTTTTGTTCTCTTCTTTCATGGGCCATTAAGAATTATCTTCTTAAAAATGATGTTATCATATTTAAGAAAGTTTTAAATGAAATAATCCCATTTGCATTAGCCTCTAGTGACTCCAAGTCATCAAGCAGTCACTCAGAAGGTATTGGGTTAAAGTATTGCTTTACCATACTGAAATGTTTTTGAACTTTCTTTACACAAGTCATATTCATGAAACTGACCTAGAATTCCATTTCGGCAGCCAGGAAAAGCTTAATTAATGTATATGTGTGTCGATTTGTGTTCTGGCAGCATTTCCACTGGAATTTTTTTCTCACCCCACACCCCTACATTTTTGTATTTTGAGTTTTGATAAGGATCAAGAAAGTGTTGTGTCCTTATGATTTTTGTGACAGCTATTCTGGGTTTTGGATGTAGAGAAATTTCACTTATCATTTGATGATGGCCTTTGAAAGAGCAAATTGTGTTTTGTTTACACCCCATTGTGTTCAGCAGGTTTGTGATGATAAATCTGTATTCTTTAATAATGATGAATTGTGTTTTTCTATGAAGGTTGAGACTTGGAGCTAATGCACACAGTCTAATCATTTGGGAGAAAAACAATAGGATTAAGGGAAGTTTTCAGAGTCTGAAAGAAATGTAAAGAGATAGAAATAGACCAGAGGAGGCAATGAAAGATGGGCAATGTGGACTGAAGTGATAACTGAATGAATGAAACAGAAAGGAGACTAGAAATTCTTCCATCATGGTGTATATTTAGTATTGCAGATCCGATAGTTTATCATATTTTAATCATAATTATGGTCTTATTTTAATATTATTTTTATTAGACTAAAACTGGTCTTAGAGAGGTTTTCTTTTCATTTCTTTTCCTGAGAATTATATAGTATTCAGAAGAGACATGTTTCCATTTAATTAATTAATTGATTTTTTTGGGCTGGGGATTTTTAGTTTATTTATTTATTTATTTTTGTTTTTGGGGTTACAACCAGCGATGTACAGGGGTTACTCTTGGCTTTGCACTCAGGAATTACTCCTGGTGGTACTCAGGGGACCATATGGGAGGCTGGGAATTGGCAGCGTGAAAGGCAAATGCCCTACCGGCTGTACTATCACTCCAGCTCCCCTTATTTAATATTTTTAATTTTATTTTTTATAATCTTGTTCACAATAGTTCATTACAGATCATATTCAAACACCAATCCCACCACCATGCACCTTCCCACCACCTTAAGAGGAAAGTGTGTGAAGATTGCTGTATTTCATCCTGGAGCCATTTAAGGCCTCGTATAAGAGATTACAAGCATGTATGTTAAACTCAAACAAATGTGTGCTACTTTTGGTACATCAGTGGGCTAGAGTATAAGAGGTCGAGGCCCAGTGCTCCAGGACATTCTGTATCACTCTCTTCTGGGAGCTTTATTTTATAGTCTCTGGATCTTGGCTGTTGATGAGATATGATGTTGGAGGCAGTTTGTGGGTGTGACTACTAAGCTACTGAAAACTGAGGAGCTGGGGGAGGAGGCCCAGTCCTGTTCTGAGCAAGCTTGGAGATCTCAGTCACGGGTCCCGCATACCTGGGTTTTTCTGCAGGCCCTCATAGGTGAGGCTCACCTGAACTTGTTGAGAGTGGCCTTGAGCGTGTCTGCGCAGTTGGGTTCTGGAGGGTTTTGGCTGCTGGGGTTGGGCTCGGGATGGGAGGGAAATTCAACCTGCCCCCCTCCAAGTTGCCCCGGTGAAGACAGCCTGGTACAGGGTCAGGATGTTCTGTCCATATTACCATTTTATTAAACCTTTTTCTATTCTTGTTTTTTGTCCCCCTAAAATATAATGAACACTCCTGTTATGTTTCCAGAGAGTCTGCTTTTAAGTAGTAGCTTGATAAAATAGCAAAATTTTAACCATCTCCTTTTTAATAAAAAGTAATAAAACTTCCTATAAACTAGAGATATAGAAAATACAGTCTCCTAAAATGTTAACATTTATATATATATATATATATACATATATATATATATAAAACCAACTAAGAAAATTTATGGTATAAAGGAAAACCAACAGCTATGGACATGGCATGGTGGCCTCCCCCCCCCCAAAAAAAAGCCAATTATGAAAAGAAAAGAAATAAAAGTTGCTTAGCACAGTTTGAAATGTCAATGTAGGCAAAATAAAAAATTCTTGTATAATCACGTATTTTAAAAAACTATATCATGGGGATTGAAGAGCTATCACAGAGGTGGAGGCTCTTGTCTTAAACATGGGTGACCCTGGTTAGATTCCTGGCACCACATACGCTCTGCCAGGAGTGACTTCTGAGCACAAAGTCAGGAGTAAGCTCTGAGCACTGCTGGGTATGGGCAAACAGTCTTCTAAGCTCCCAAAACACAAAATAATAAACAGGATCATAGTTTATAAGTTTTTTTTACTTTCTATTTTTATTTTTTTTACACATATTGATTTTTGTAACTAAATAGTTTTCTGAAACCTCTTATGTTCAGTTAAGTATGCTATTGTGCATTCCATAATACTTAAAACCATTTCCTTCTGTTGAATGTTTGGGTGATGACTGTTATTTAAAATGATAAATTTTGAGGACAGGAAGATCACTATACATAGATCTGTGCTCACAAGTCACTACTTTTAATATTTTCTCCGAGTAAATTTTGAGAAAGGATATTCTTAAAGAATATGCATATTTAAAATATTTTGGATGTATTTTTAGCTATCTGTGATCCAAAACAGTAGCTGTCAATTTATACGTCTACTGTATATCTATGAGTGTACTTTTCATATATTTTACCAGCACATGAATGATCTTTGTGAATATTAGTAACTTGTTTTCATTTTTAATTCACAAAGACTGGAGCGATAGCACAGTGGCTAGGGCATTTACTTTGCATGTGACCGACCTGGGTTCGATTCCTCCGCCCCAGTCAGAGAGCCCGGCAACCTACCGAGACTATCCTGCCCGCACGGCAAAGCCTGGCAAACTGCCATGACATATTCTATATGTCAAAAACAGTTAACAACAAGTCTCACAATGGAGATGTTGCTGGTGCACGCTTGAGCAAATCGATGAACAACGGGAGGACAGAGCTACAGGACAGTGCTACAGTGCTACAGTATATACCAAAACACACAATTTCACTATTTATATATCTATCTATAATATCTATATCTATAATATATCTAGTTTATCTATAATAATTATATGTCTTATATTATGACATGTTGACCCATTATAGAAAATGAGTTTGTGTAACAAAATCTGTTGTATCTGTCCCTAACACAGTTACGTTGGTTTCCTAGGTGTCTGTGTGAACATCACGTACAGCCAGTGCCAGATACTACCTTACCATTCCACGCTCACACCTTTCTACTCAATTGTCAAAAACATGGAAATGGACAAGTTCCTCAAGTTCTTCATGTACCTCCACCGGCTCGGTTGCTATCAACATATCCTGCTTTTTGGCTGTAGCCTTGCCTTCCCTGAGTGCATTGGTGATGACAGGTATTTGGGAAGCTAAAATCATTCCATGATAAGAGTCAGCTGTGGCAAAAATGTCTGACAAGAGCAAAGTCTTTGCAAGCTACCGCCTTTCATTTGTGATGTTGCTGAAGGAGAAAAAGACACAGCTAGTTACCGTTCTTTTACACTGGAAATCGCTTAAAAACCTACGTATTTTTTTTTTATCTCTGGGAAGAAGTTGTTCTGTATTTCTGATTAATGCCATCATCAATTGAGATGCAGTAGCCATTTCAGTGAGGGTCTGACACAATACGCAGCACAGAGATTGGGTGATTGGAAACGGTCATTGAAAATTATATAGGGTGGTGTGGGCAGAGCAAAGCGAAGTAATAAGTGATGAAGGAACACTAGGGTGTCATGATAGAACATGCAATACTGCCCCTAAGGAAAGCAGAGGAGTCAGTCACTGCCAGACCCTCAGTCCCCAGAGAGAGGGAAGAAGGAGTAAATCCTTGTCTGCACATGGTCTCCTCCCTCTGAGTTCATTCACAACCAGTCTTTGGGCCACAATTCACTACTGATGTAAGTGCAAGGGCCGAGATCCAAGATCTCATCCCAATGGAACCATCTCAAAAAAAAAAAGACCTCAAATTTCATAATCTAAAATAGTTACACACGTGAAATGTTGGATGAGTTTTAGGGTCAATACTGGTGTCAGAAAAGAGTGAGGAGGGTGAAATGTCGATGCAGAGTGGTTGCTGCACTGCACAATGGGATTAGAAATCTTTTTTTTTTTCTTTTTGGTTCACACCTGGTGATGCACAGGAGTTATTCCTAGCTCTGGCACTCAGGAATTACTCCTGGCAGTTCTCGGAGGAACATATGGGATGCTGGAAATTGAACCCGGGTCGGCCTCGTGCAAGGCAAAAGCCCTATCCACTGTGCTATCACTCCAGCCCCAGAAATCATTTTTTTGAGTGGTGAAGGATAACATAGGAGTGAGTGTACTTCTATAGGTTTTTTATTTTGGGCTGTGATATAACTGACATATAATCAATTCAGGTGTACCACAGGATAACTTGATATTTGTATATATTCCAAAAAGTTTCAACACAACACTTCTAGTTAACATCCATCATTATACAGCCACAGTGCTTTCTTCTTTTGATTAGAACTTATAAGATTTACACTCTTAGAAACTTTGAAATGTCATACTATTAACTATGTATATTACATCCTCATAGGCATATGTTGTAAATAGATCTCTTATAAATATAATTTTGTACACTTCAACTACCTTCAACTTATAAAAAATTCTAATTTCATTACTATGGCATTCTATTGCAATAATATTTTTCAACAAGTCAATGAAAAAAATTGTCACGGAATACTGAAATGAAAAGCATATATTTAAACATTTTTTGAAGTGGATTGGAGAGATATATCAATGGACTGAAGAAAATGCTTTGCATTCAGGAGGCCCAGGCTTGATACTGGCAACACATGGTTCTCCAAGCATTCTTGGGAGCAACACCTCATGCCCCAGGTGGAAGTAACCTCAAAGCATTGCTGGGTATAGAACAAAAACCAAAAAGCATATTTTTTCAAATCTGTGTTTAGCACAAAATCATATGTAGAGTTAATTGTACTCTGTTGAATTCAAATGTTACAAAGTTTTCTGAAAACTAATGTTAGAATGAATTGTCTTTTCATTTGCAAATCCATTCTGTTTTGAACTAACCTAATTAATGTGTAAAGTATGTTTTGAATAGGGCAAAGTGATTTATTATTTTAACTGGAAAACCTAGCATTGCCATAGAATAAAAGAAAAGAGTGATACAATAGATTCTAAATTATAGAAGTCAGGAATTTTTAGCAAACAGCATTCAGGAAGGCATTTCACACCAAAGAAATCATTTACAAAGGATGCTTTCATGGTTAAAAGGACATTAGATCTCCCCCCTTTTATGTTGTCAGGAGGGTCCCAGTATAGTAGAGTAGCTATGTTAACTTTCTAAAAGTGCCATAACAAATTACTCCATGCTGGATGGTTTAAACAACAGAAATTTCCTCTCGCACAATTCTAGAAGGTAGAGATTCAGACTCTAGAACTTGGTAGTGTGTTGGGGGTGGTGTGGGGTCATGTTTCTTCCTTTCCCAGACTCTGGTGGCTTTTGTTATTCTTAGACATGCTTCTATATCTCCCTGGTATCTGCCCCTTTTCTCTTAAACTTCTGAGTCTATGTTCTTTTCTTCTGTCTCTTCAGAAAGCCCTTCTCATGTTGGGCTTGTTCTGATAACCCAAGATGATTTTACAATCTCAAGATCTTTAACATCTGTAAAGACTTTATTTTTCTCAAATAAGTTCATATTTGTAAGTTTTAGTATCTTTAACTTAAGTTTACCAGATAAGTTCTCATTCACGGGTTCCAAAACTTATAGGCATCTTTTTGGAGACCACTGCTCAACTTGAGCACAATAGTGGCTGAGAAAACTGACCATGCAGACCCAGTTCTCTGTCCTCTCATCTGTAAAATGGGTTGCCAGTGATGGTCTCTATTTTAAAGAGTTTATATGAGGATTAGATGACAAAGACAACTTGGAACAGTGTTTGGATTTTACAAAGAGCCTAATAAATGCCAGAAAATATTGAATTGATAAGGAGAAGGAGTGTTAATAAGACTGAGAACACAAAAACATTTTTACATGTGCTAACTATTGTAAGATTGAAAATAAATTGTAGAATACTATGTAGATTCAAAGAAAACTAGGTGTTATATTTGTTATATCCAAAGCTGTTGATACTGAACTCTAATTCCATATTTCCTTAATTTCAATTACATCTCTCTGCTTTACTCTCTGCATAAACTCCTGTGTATGTGTGCATTAATAAGACAATGAAAAAAGAGTGCATTTAACTTCTAGTTGGCCATCCTTAAAATAATTCTACTTCTACTTGGAGTTAAATCAGTTGTAAAATTTTAGTTCAGGCTGTTCTTGTCTTAATTTTACTTTTAGGTAAAAGCTGTTTTTCTCTTGACCTAGTTTTATAGTTAATATGTCTCTTGACACTAAAAATATCTATATTTGAAAGTGGATACAGGTATATTACCCATATGTTTTTGATGTATCACTCTCATTCTCCAAGGAGAGTTTTTCATCAATTTTGTAATGTCTAATAATTCATAGTCCATTTCCAGGTAACCTTTGGGGAACTTATCCTATTTTATTTATTATTATATTTATCCTTATATTTAATTTTGTAGTTCTACTTTGATACTAGTGTTTCCAATGTTGTGATCTATTATGTGCATGGGAGGTAAAACTTAACATAATAACAACATTGTGTAAAAAATTTAAAAATCTGACATGTTTCTCATAGTTTACTGTTTGCTCCTTCATTATACTGCTTTATTAGGCTACTTGAATATGAAAAATGTTTATAATCTTATTTTAAAAAATAGAGCTAGCTAATATCATTTTAATTTTAAAATGTAGATTAGTACATGTAATGACTTATATTTAAAATATATAACCTGATTAATTTGAATTAAATATTTATTGACTAAATCTTGTAATAAACTAACATTTTCTGCTTTAGATCAGGGTTAAATTTTGATGTGTATTCTGTATTATAACAGGCTAATTTTTAGTTGACTATAATTTATATAGATTTAGCTAAATGTCCCTTAGATACAGAGATTTAAGTGCTAAATCATTTGAGTAGACTTAAAATATGTACATTAAAAGGATTAGCTTAAAAATGTCAGCAAGTGGTAGAAAGATATTCATAACTCCTGAGCCAAGAGAATAACAAACAATTCTTACATGACTTTAAGTTATACTTAAAGTCTCTAATATTTGAAAGAGGACACAATTTTTTTAATAATATAAAATTAGAGCCATTTAATAAGTTAAATGTTTAAAAGAAACAATAATCACAGTTCTATTGAAAAAATTGTATTTTCCAACAAATAAAGTTCAAAATAACTATGAAATCTCCCTGTGAAAAATACTAAAACATTTTATTAATAAGCATAAAATTACTTTTTAAGATATGCTAAAGACTTCTTATTTATTTATTTATTTTAGTCCATTATTCTTTTCTTTTTTTTTAAATTTTTAAAAAAATTTTAATGAATCATCATGAGATATATTTACAGACTTACAGACTTTCATGATGGCGTTTCAGTCAAACAATGTTAAAGTACCCATCCCTGCAGCAGTGCCCATTTTCCAACCATAATGTTCCCGGTATCCCTTCCCCCACCCCCACCCTTCCCTCCTTCTGCCTCTGTGGCAGGCACATTCCCTCTTACTCTCTCTGTCATTTTGAGTGTTATGGTTTGCAATACAGGTAACAAGCAGCCATCATGTATGGTCCATAGTCTACTTTCAACATGCATCTACTATAAGAGGACACAAATATTACTCCCACATGCTTTTGACATGTAACTATCACTCATTTCCACTTTGTTTAAATAATAGGCCTATCTCTTTAAAAGTGGATAAGGTATTAATATGGTCCGGAAGATCTGGCCTTGGTTTTGCCTCTCAAACACACCCAGAAATCTACTGATGATCACTATTTCATCCAGTACAGAGCAGAGGAATTCTGCTCATGAAATCAGACTTCACAAGAGTAATTTGATGTTTGTTCTATTTTTTCTCTGGAGTGTTGATTTGATGCTAGATCCCTTGCACAAAATCTTAATATCTATGGACATTAAATAAAAATTCTTTATAAAATTAGTCCTTTGAAGAAATTCTTAACACTGGTGGAAATAAAATTTGAAAATTTAATCTGGATATTATTAGAAAGAGAATTGTTATCTCAAAGTCAGGAACTATTAGTCTGTTTTCTGTAGTGCACTAAGCTGTGTAGGATCATGGTAAAGATCAAATGAGTTTCCTAAAATAAACATCTTCATAAGCACTATACTTACCCCCATATAAGTATGTACATTAGGCAATTTTATCTCATAACTTCTGAGAAAGTGCTGACAAGTCTGGAAGCAGATGAAAACTGACTCTAACCATAG